TTTCCAGATTTTTTCTCATGGATATATATTTGGCTATGCACCCAGTGCTATGAGGCCAGTGTCAGCAAAAAATTGGGTACTTGCTTTTTTGCGCTTTTCATCAGCAGCCAGAAACAATTCCCCACAACTATCTAAAATGGAGTTTGATACTTTCATGCCGCTCGAAGTTTTCCTCTTCTTGATCCTTTGATGCCGAGCTTTTGGGTCTATGTCTCCAGCTGCTTTGTTCTCTTGATGTGCGGGGCGTACTCATAAGCTTTTGCATTCGTCAACATTGGCTTTAGGGATAAAAACATTGGAAGGGTGATCATTGGAGTGATTCAAATAATCATAAGAGCCACTGTGTTGACACTTTTGAGTGAAGCAAGCGTCCAAATATACAATACAGTAGGGCCTAGTCCACAATTGAGTACCAGGACAAATATAATGTAATCCTGTTACATTTCTGTTGTTTCATGACAATATACACCTCCAAAACAGATAGAGCACCTCTGTTGGAGATAGGAGCTTGGCTGGTCTGACGGATCTTCCTTTTGCATATTTTGGCATGCGGCTTCTATGAAATTTTGAATCAAATCTTCAACAGAGGCAGCAAAAATTGTGTACTGATAGAGTTCACTCCCAAAACAATGCTGTAGATTATTCTGGAAAATGACATCAAAAGCGCCCAATACACATTGTTGAGGTATTTATCTCACAACTTTGGTTCTACAATAAAAAGGTTTCAAGAAATACACACATGGGTCAATACATCTATTTTGTCTTTTTTTTTTTCAAATATTTTACCGCCATTTGCAGATGGCTTTTGTTTGCTATTGTGTTTGTGATTTATATCTTGCAGTGACATACCGAAGTAGGGGTCAACAGGAGGTAGGGTTGGATTGGATGTATCAAAATAAGTTTGACAGAGCTAGCAATGTCAGGCAATGAATACAAAGCTATATAACAACTACAAATGTCTGGCCAAGTCCTTGAAAAAGGTGGTGGATCAGAGTATTGACATTGAAGAGTATCAATATAAACACAAATCCAAACTAATATTGAACTCAGGAATAATACATTGAGTATCTACTCTTTATATAGCAAATAATGAGGGTTGGTTCAAAAAGAGAAAGGATAACAAAGTGGTCTGACCAAATAACTATCCAATAGTAAAAAAGAGAAGGAATGGTGTGATCTATAATAATTACTAATAATGTGAGAAGGATCTTTGATAAGGGATGTACAATTGGGTGGATCAGGGACCCCATGGGAAGGCACTGAGTCACAGTCTGTATTGCTGATTGATGTCTCACCAAAGTGTTCCCGAGCACAGCTCTTGATCAGAGTTATGCCATTGGGATATCTTCTCGGGGATTGGAGAGGAGTCTCCTACATTGTAAGTATGATAGGATACGGGTGTGGAAGGAAAATAAGACAAAGAAGGATAAAAGTAAGAGAGTACCAGCCATGACTTCTAATCCAATAGTGAGAGGAGTGATGGGGAATAGGTTGGATAACCATGACATGGTGGGAATGCAATAGGAAAATTGATTCCTTACAGGCGGGAGTGGAAATGCCAAAATTCTCCCCCAGGACCGAGATGAACGAGGCTGAAATTTTTTATGAAGTTATGTTCTATGAATGGTTTGTTGACAATTGTTGCAGGAACAGTGGGGCTAATAATGTTCTTGATATTGTATCATGAGAAAGAAACTCAGCCTTCCTTATGTACCACATAGGGATGCCAGGGTCAAAATATTTTTGGCAAATGTCAGGGTTCATGGTAAATGCCCCCATCCAGTAAAAGTATACAGGTCTTGTGCTTGTGGTTAGGGGTCATCATAGTTGGGGGATGACAATCTCAACATACTCCATATGTGCATATACATCCATGTATATGCGCTGGAATTCAGCTACTTGGAGGACAATGTCGCAGAAAGTCAATAGATGATGTAATAGATGAGCCAGCGAGTGCTGCAAAGCCAGTACTAAAGGGGAGATGGCATCTTCTGCAAACTGGTGGCAGCTCCTTTGTGCAACAACCAAGAGTTTGTTACTCTGGCGCACAACTAGAACCAACTATAGAGATGATGATGAGGGAGTGGTTACCCTTTAGGCTTCAACAAGTTAATTGTGAGGATACAACAGGAGGACTTGCTGAGGAGTCTCCTTGATCTATTGGGGTATATATACTACTACAGGTTTGTTTGTACATATGTACTATACAGTTGATGAAGGCAGTGGCTAATGATGTCAGAGGGTGTAGCCCATGTGACCAGCTTCACTGCGTGAGAGACTTGTATCTAAAATAGAAAGAAAGGCAGTGCAGCGCGAAAAAGTGGAGTTTGAACAAAAGGGAAAGTGCCGCATGGCACAAAGTGTGAGAACTACAGTAAAAGGTTAAAGAGGAGAATGAAATTAAAAGTCCAAAAATGTGTTATCGTAACACTTTGCCAATTAATAACCCTTTCTTGAAGACTGTGGTGGAGTTCAGCTAATTTATTGTGCTTCTGTCAAGACAAAGGTCCCATGCCATATTTTGATCCGGGCTCAAGGTCAAAGTCATCCTTTGTAGTTTTCCACCACAAGGCATTCAGCATTGTGTCCCTGTCTAGGGATTACTGTGCTTCATGAATACTTTTTGGGGTGTATCTGTGGCCACTAATAGCAGTTGACCAAACTGAATTGACCATCTTGCCTGGGCCAGAGCTCTTTTTTTCTGAAATAATGTAACTCTGGTATCCAATCCAAGTTTGGAAATACAATTACCCATGGAGGGGTGTGCAAGAGAGAAAGCACATCAAAGGTATTGGCTTTGGCTACCATAAGTAAGTTACGAGATTAGCATAAGATGTGATAGTGTATGTATGGTCGTGGGGATGGGTGAAAGGCCTTAAGAGCATACTAAACAACCGTCAAAACACCGAGTCTTTCAACCCCAGCCAATAGGTGTTCACGAGTAAGGGACACTTAGTCTTCCTCTACATCTTGTATATGCCCCAGAACATTATGACTATAGATGAGAAATACAAAGATATCTTATATTAAGAATTGGCTTGGGATATTGCAGAAGACATGCCTTCAAAGGAAGAGTTTTATTTTGTTTTGTGACACATACAACTAGATATGGAGACTCCTTCTGAAGACCTGGGTTGGTGTTTTTCAGCTATCTTAGAAGTGTTAGACATCTGTAAAAAACTTACTATCACTGATTGTGAAATTGATTGGATTACCCTTGTTTTATCGCAAGTATTTTTAGATATGCAAATATACTTACATTCTGTTGGAAACATACAATAGAAACCCTACCAAAAGCAGAACAATTATCTTGAAAGAATTCCATGGATCTCCTATCACCCCCTTAACATGAAATGTGGGACCGTGATTGGCAAGATATCAAGATTAGCCACTTTATGCTCTAAAAAGGCAACATTCCTTGAGAGTATGAGTGATCTCTATTATCTTTATATAGCTCGTGGATATCCCGATGGAGAATTGAGTAAATGGATGGATTCAAAAGAATTGAACAAGTGTTGGAACTCTTGTCTGATATCAACGGAGAAGGACAACCTTGAGCACAACCCGCTTGTAGTTTTGAAATCCCAACTTAATCCCATATGGAATTATTGTAACGCAAATGAATTGCAAGACAGCATTGTCTGTTATTGGCGTAAATACGTCAGAAAATTTACAATAGGAGAAATACCTACCCCCGGCTACCCTGTATTTGGTAATGACCATGATTTGGTAATGCTAATAGCATGCCAATCATTGTTAGTCCGGCACGGACAGGAAGTTTGCCACTTGGTTGATGCTCAAGAGGGCTCCCCGGTTGGTGAACAACCTGTGCTTCAGCTGGCGGAAGATGGGCCCATGCTTGACGCCTCTGATCAACATGTGATAGCCAATATTATGAAGCTTCCATTTATCCGAAAATCCCGTTGGCTTGTGAGTTGAAAAGTTAAAGATAACTTATACAAACAAGCTAACAAATTGAAAAATGCCGTACTCAATTACAAAAAACCAGTGCTAAATGCACCACCAGACTGGGACTCCTACCCATTGGAGAACCAAGTTTAGATGTTGGTTCTGGTGCATCTGGACGTGTTTGATCTGGGACTCCGCATCTCTGGTGGGGTTTTGAGGCCCAAAATTGGAGCAGAGTTCAGAGAGGAACTCACAGTAACTGTCTATCCAGATGGCCATAGTGATGAGATTGTCTGGGGTCAGGATGTCAGGTTTTAACCAATCCAATGCCATTCTCTTAATGAAGGAGATAATATAGTTGATTTTAGCCCAGTCAGTATAGAATGTGCACGGTGTCTTGTTGATAAAGTGTTTGGTATGGGATAGCCACCAAAGCTTCTTTATCCTAGGGCCACCAGAATTTTACAACCTAAGCTGGACAACGGGTAATAACCTAGTTTGTTCGTGGGGTGGAAGTTAATTATCCTTTTTGTTGTGAGTTTGTTAATAGTCCTCGTGCTCTGGAAGACTAATATGACAATAGTAGATATGTCCTTGGTGATATAAAAAACAAGTAGTAGTATGTGGATATACATATGAGTGTACGTATGAGTGTGAAGTGTTACTTGACTGGCTTCAAGATATAGGTGTGACAACGATAGTCCTTGCTTGTTGAGAGACTGATAGGACAAGGATAATAGTGTCCTACACTTGATAAAGAACAAACTATAATATGCTGATGGCCGATAGAAGGGTGAAGCAATACTTGGCTATGCTTCAGTGAATGACTGCAGATGAGCTTACACCAAATCAATAGATGACTGATATAAGTTTGAGATGAACTATAGGATACTAGAGCTACTTGTGGCAAATAATAAACAATCACAAACTGTAATCATACTTGGACTACTATTGTTTGTGACAGACATGACTTGATGACTAAGCTTCCTAGGATGGGCAATACCTTTTGTATGCTTCCTAGGCTAAAGCTAGTTGACTTCTGAGTGGTTGTCCACTTATGTGGGGACTGCTTGTAAGTAAAAGCTTTTTTTTTATTAGGTGGAAAGTTGGCCTCCTTATATACCTTTTGGCTATAAGGGCTCCTTCCTAGTTGGTAATTACAAATGATAGTACCAAAATATCTAATGGAAATTCAAAAGGCCAGAATCATCTATTGTCTAGATGATTCTAGAGTGGCCTTTTTGAGACTAAGAATAGAAAAGTAATTTGAAAATGTGGAGCAAAATATGACTCAGTCAGGCACAGTGTTCTATTTATAAGAAACAAATGCCAATTCAGCCTTCTCCACAGTAAAACAAGAATTTCGGAGAATTTCCTTATTTGGAAGCCCTCCTAAAGTATCCAGACTGATAGGGGCGTGAAAGTATCACCTACTCTATAAAAACCGGAGTGATTGGTGAAGTGGTTGTTGAGAAAAAGGCAGATTATGTCATGGGGAATTTACTTTCCCTTTTCAGAAACTGACCATGTGCAAGCCATGTGGTCAGATTTCAGTGTGGCTGCCAGTGGCTGACAGTAAGTGTGATACAAGCATTCTTGTTTGGCTCATATCTCCAAAACTAGCGGTCATCAAGATATAAAACTTTGTGACATAGTACTTTGGAATGTGTGCTTTAAGATGAGGTACTTTTTGCGGGGTACAATATGTCGTGGAATGCCATGTCCATACATGAAACATTTTTCATGTATGACAGCGGATGGTCATTAAAGTTCAGTTGGCACTGCACAATAAAGGAGTAAAGCTTCCTGGGATTGGAGCCATCAAAAGTGTTTGCCTGTCAAATCTTAGCATGTGTGGAACCGGAGTCAGGGTTATGTCTGGAGGGTCTAGAAAACAAGGTAATTGCCTGGGCCAGAGTGAGGCCCTCAGCATCCTCATTCTCTGGTTCTCTGGCTCAATGCGTGGTAGCTCAGCAGAAGCGGCCATTGGAAAATCCGGAGCGGGGGTCAGGGTGCGAGGAGAATTGGGAGGGATCAGGGAACCCCTGGGGGTACAAGGTTGAGGGGTCATGGAAATTGATTGTGCCTCTAGGGGTCACCAGCAGAAAAACTGTGGATTTCAGTGTCACCCTATGAGGTGTTACGTACATATTTGACCATGGGAGAGATACCAATAGGTTGCTTTTTGGAGTTCCAAGAAATTATGGTACCACAATAGAAGGTGATCAGCCCAGACATGGAGTGACAATGGGGCTGAAATGCCCAATCACTATCTGAATAAGCAAAAAGGCCCTTGTATCACCCCCCTCCCAGGTGAGTTGATAGTCCAGTGTAGTTTTAACGTATCTGATGATCTGTTTGACTGCTTTCCAGTGTGAGCATCTGAGGTTTTGAGAGAATTGCGAGACAAGCAACACTGCAAAGATAATGTCTGGTCTCATTCCAAGCGCCAAGTACATCAGCTTTCCTATTGCTTCTCTGTATGGTACATTACACATATCTTCTTTATCATCAATAGACATTGGCATCTGATCTCTTGAGAGTGTGGCACTGGGTTCCAGGGGGGTTGAGGAGGTTTTTGTGTCTGTTAGGCCAAAGGCATTGATTATTGATTGAGTGTATGCCTTTTATCCCAGCTGTAATGTGCGGTTAGGTTGGTTTCTCTTTATTTCAAACCCCAGCAGCCATCAAATTGGTCGAAGGTCAATTATGCCATACTCATCTTAAAGACCTTGTTTGAAACTGTCTATAGCAGCTCTGGATTTCAATGCAACAGCCATATCATCTATTAAGATGCCTACAATGATTTCTTCAGTTGGTATCCATGTGAAAAATATTGCGTGATCATATTCTGACTGTTTGAAGCCTAGTTGTAGGATTGTGTTGTTCCGTTTTCTGTATCATCCTGCTCCGGCTTGTTTTAGGCCGTATATCCCTTTCCTGAGTTTTGCTACTAAGTTCTCTTCACCAGGTCTTAGTAGTTTGGGCGGTAGCTTCATGAAGATGTCCTCTTCAAGCTCAGAATTGAGGTATGCACTTTTAACGTCCACTTGGTCAATTTCCCAGTTCAGTGAGGCAGCATAGGCAAGGATGGCTTGATGCAATGCTAGTTATGCAACAGCGGAGTACATTTTGGTATAGTCAATACCGTACTTCTGTTTGTGTCCATCTGTTATGAGTCTGACCTTGTATTTAGAAATTGCTCCCCTTTCATTGTGTTTGATTTTGGTCACGAAGTGACTTCTTATGATGTTAACACCATCTGGAGGTGCCACAAGGTCCCAGGTATGTAATTTCCTCAGTTGTTTTATTCTATCATCTATTGTTTCTAACCACCTGTCTCTTTCAGGACTCGCTAAAGCCTGTCTTATGGGCGGGCTATCACCATCTAGCGTGTGTGCAAGCATGGCCGCTTCAAGTGCATTGTCATCTGACATGTAGTTGTCATCATGTAAGTTGGCAGTGTTAGCGGCAATGGGTCTGCCGTCATTTAGGGCTCAGTAATATCCCTGCAGTTTGATGGTGGTTGTACAAACAGGCTTGTCTCTCTTCCCATCATCAGGCGGTGACGTGTCTGGTAAGTTTTCTGTCTCTGAATCATCTTGGAGGTCATTGCTGGCAGCCTTTATTTTTTCAGGTGCTGTTTCAGCATGGGATTGTGAAGAGACATTGGTAGGACTTTTGTCTGAATTGATGGTATTGTGGTGAGTTTTGTTGTTGTTCAAAGGTTACATTGCGCTCAACAGATACCTTTCTTTTATCAGGCCAGTATATACAATATCCCTTGGTTTTGGAGTTGTATCCAACACATATCCCTTTTTAGCTTGCAAATCAAGTTTCCCTGCCGAAAGGTCCTTGACATAGACTATGGCACCAAATTTGCATAGTCCATATAGATCTTTTTTTTGTCTGCTGACCATTTCATAGGGCATTTTTCCATCAAGGCATCTGGTTGGTGCACAGTTTTTAATCCAGACCAGATGCTTCATTGCCTCGCCCCATAAAGATTTTGGGAGTTTTGCTGTCATTAGCATGGCTCGAGCATATTCCACTATAGTGTGATTTAGATGTTCTGTGGTGCTATTTTGCTGGGGGGAATCCTGTACAGTAAGTTCTCTTCAAGTGTTGGAACTCTTGTCTGATATCAACGGAGAAGGACAACCTTGAGCACAACCCGCTTGTAGTTTTGAAATCCCAACTTAATCCCATATGGAATTATTGTAACGCAAATGAATTGCAAGACAGCATTGTCTGTTATTGGCGTAAATACATCAGAAAATTTACAATAGGAGAAATACCTACCCCCGGCTACCCTGTATTTGGTAATGCTAATAACCTTCTCTTTTGAATGCTTGCTGAAAGAAATACTCATGTATTCCCCTCCTCTATCAGATCTCAAGACCTTTATAGATGTCCTGTTGTTTTGGTTCAACAGCAGAGCCTCAAATCTTTTGTATTCAAGGAAGACCTTGTCTTTTGTAGGTAGGAATCATATGTGGACTTCACGGGAATAGTTGTCTGTGAAGGTAAGCAGGTATTGCTTTCCTGATATATCTTCCACTGATGCTGGTCCCCATAGATCTGTATGTATCCATATGATTTAGCGCAGTTCAAGAATTCCTGAGGGAATGGTTTTGTGTTAGACATGGCCTTCATGCACGGTTCACAGAATTCCTTCTCAACGGAGGTATTGAGTGTCAATCCTATAGCTATATCCAAACCAATGAGCTTCCCCAAGCCTTTGTGTGAGAAGTGTCTCATTGCTCTATGTAACTCATTGATATTCATTTTGGTTTTTAGTGCTATAGGTTTGGCTCGGATTATTGCATTTTAGGGTGGAGATGTGTTGTCTACCTGGTATAGGTCCTGTTTGATATTGTCTGTCTCTTGGAACTTAGAGACAGTATTCTGCAATTCCCCTTTTCAAAGTGTACTGCATAGCCTACTTTGTTGATCTTGCTCGTGGATATGAAAGTTGTTGACATATCCGGTGCGTAGATTATGTTCCTTAAGAGTAATAATGTATGCCTTTTACCATTAGGTAGTCTCACTAGCAGGTCACCCTTTCCAGCGGCTTTTAATGGTGATCCTCCTGCTATCTCTATCAATTTTGTGTTGCATGGAGAAAAAGTAATGAATTGGTTCTTGAAAGGAGAGAAGTAGTGGTTTGCGCTTGAGTCTATGGTGGCAGGCCCTTCAGTAGTGAGTTGATTGTTTTGCTTTTTATTACAATCAGATATTGATGCTTTCAGAGCATATAGATTGTTGCCGTTGTTGGTATTATCAGATAAAGATTATGTTTCCGCAGCCTTAGCTTGTGCTCTACCTTTGGATGACTTGGACGAGTGTCTGTTTCCATCATCCGACTTTCTTTCTTTAGGACTATCTTTCCACTGGCCTGATTGCTCATAATGTCAGCAATCTTTGGCTAGATGTCTGATATTTCCACACTTAAACCACTCACCATTTGCTATGGCTTGTGACTCATCTTTCTGACCTTTGTAGTTTCTAGTTTTAGCTGATAGTGCAGTGTTATTGTCCTGCTGAGAGGCTCTGGTCTTTTGGTGGTCAACCTCTTCAAGGATGTGTGTAATTATGTCCTCTGGGCTGAGGACGGTTTTGGCTTATAGTGCATCAGCCATTATTGCTGATAGCATGAGTCGGTATGAATCAGGTAATGAAGACATCAGCATAGCATTGAATTGGGGGTCTCCAATGGAGCCGCCCATTCCTGCTAGCTCAGATCTGAGCCTTAGCAATCCATTTATGTGGTCATCCATGTCATCTTCATCTGTGACTTCTATACACATTAGCTTTCGCCACAGATCAAGCTGTGACATGTCGCTTTTGTCTTCAAACATCTTGCAGAGTTTTTTCCACATCAGATGTGGCTCGGTTGTTTTCAATGTGGCTTTCAGCTGGTCTAGCATAGAATTGGTAATGAAGTTTATGATAAGTTGTTTCATTTTTGCACATTTTATACGGAATGTGTCCATCTTTTCCTCTAATGCTTCCAGGTCATCATCTGTGTCATATCCGTACCAGAAGACAGAACTCCGGCATCTCCAAAGGACATACTCTCCGAGTCTGAAGCTCCCAAACCATTGCATCAAGAAATGTGCCATGTATAGTTGTTGTCAGCCACAATCAGCCAATGTGCACTCAGTGATGGCTCATATCATCACTTGGTAGTCTTATTACTACAACATGTTGGCCGATGATTGGGCAATGAGTGGGCAATGTATTTCAAGTGTCTCAAAATATCTTATTTTGGCCTTTCCTTGAACGGCTATTAAAATATCTATTTTTCCAATATCAGAAAATAAGATAGAAAATAAAATATTTTGGTTTTGCAGTTATATTCCTTAAAATATTAAGTTTTGTAGAGCTAGAAACCTTTCCGTCAAATTTTAAACAATTTAAAGTGATTTTACATTAACTAAATTAAATATTCTGACTGCTTTTTTTTAATAATGATGGAATTTTGATTAGTATTTACAGCTGATTTTATAATAATAGACCTATCCAATAAGTTAGCGTGCAGGCAGACTTCAGCGGAGTGTATATTTTTGGGAAGAACCCAAAGTGTCTGGGAGAGACTAGTCAACCCTCAACCAGCATGCGGCGCCATATTTCTAAGGAGCAGAAGATACTAGCGTACAAATTGTCTTGCATTCATGGCCTCTTGGACAGACATGTTAGCAGTTACCTAGGAATCAGTCAACGGACCATCAGGTGCATCCAGAAGACCTTTTGGGACACTGGTGAAGTGGACACCAACCAGCTTGTCAAGGATGGCCTCATGCCCTTGATGGCTTGGAAGCAAGTATAAGTTTTTTCTTTTAATCTTCTAATATGCTGATAAATCAAGTTTTTGATTAGTTCCTTGAAGGCTGCATTGAAAGACAGCCTGATATGATCCTCTCAGAGTTACAGGAGCAACTTAGGGAGGTATGTGGCACTGAGGTATCAGCTGTGGCAATTCTCAGGACCTTGAAGAGGCGACAATTCACCATGAAGAAAGTAAGTGATCTGTTTATATATTGTGCACTTTCTGACAGATTTCTATCATAGATCACTTGCCCTGCCAGTGAACAAGATGAGGATGACCATGCTTTATTCAAGATCCTTATTTGGGAGCACATCTCCCAGAACAACTGGTTCTTGCAGACGAGACACATTTCAACCAGCTTACACTGTGCCGTCAATATGTCTGGGCCCCATGTGGAGGATGTGCAAGATGTAGGGATTTCTTTGTCCGTGGTCGTTGTTACTCTATATTACCTACAATATTATTAGATGGAGTCTTGCATTTAGAGGTACTAGACCGTCCTTTTACACGCTTGCAGCAATCTACTTATAGTTACTACACCCAGCTTTTCTGGCAAACAAAAAGTCTAGATAATTCGAATAGAAGGTGGCAAGTATTTGGTTTGTCACGGTGTTAATGTTTTTCGTCACGTGATGGCGTCCATTGTGGATCAGGCCTGTTTAATGGATAATTCATTTCAATCCTTGTATCAATATCGTGTCAGTTTTGAGTTGGACCAAAGTTGTCATTAACATACCCATAGTTTGATAAGACCGTCCCATGAAGCTGTTATTACTTTAGACTAGTTGAACGGTTTTCATCAGCGCAAAGTGGCATTGACTAATGTAAAAAAACTCGCCGTCTCATGCGGAAGCCATTCATGTGCAATGACAACCTTTGAGTGCGCCTTGAGCCGGGATTTGATCCTTCCGGTCTTCCAATCCCAAAACACGACGTTCCCCTCACCATCCCCACTACTGATCCACTTCCCATCAGGGGAAAACCCAACCTGGCAAGCATAGCCGGCGACGGAATGTCCTGCAAATCTTTTCTTCCGATTTTGGCGGAAATTATCAGTGCTATAAATCAGAATCTGGTTGTCTAATGATTGCGCAGCAAAGTACTTCTCTGGGAAACACGTCATGAAACGCTTCAAGCATCGACCAAAAGGATTAACATACTAGATGGGTGTAATGTCACGGCGGGCATAGAGTGCATATGAGGCTCCGCAATGTACTTTATTACCACTGGGATATCAAAATCCCATGCCCGGATAGTTTTATCATCGGAAGTCGTTACAAACCGGCGATTGTCATCCACAAATGTGATTGTGTTGACGGGCCCAAGATGCTGGTCATACTCTTGTGTAATTTCACCGGAATGTATGTCGTACTAGGGGTGATCGAGTCAATGGATTGCATCCTTTGGGAAACAGTAACAAACGTGCCTGGATTATCTTTTTGTCCGACATACCAGCGAGGAAGATATTTTGTTTTTCTTCCCCTGGGTGGAAGCGCACAACATATGGTGTTTTGCCATTACTGAAACGCTTCAGACATTGGCCAGTCTCGGTATCCCACAGTTTCATTTGACGATCGTATCCACAAGACAGAAATTTCCGGCCATCATTGGAGAAAGTTATATCCTTGACGGCCTGGACGTGACCATGGAAAGTTCTGAGACAGTTCCCGTGAGTGTAGACGTCCCAAAGCTGTAACTAACAATGATTAGTGGTTCTAACTTCGAGGTTTGAATTTATGACACCACCTTAATTTTAGTGTCCATGGACCCACTCAGTAGAAGGTGCCCAGTATTGGGAAAAGAACGTATTACTGAGACGCCTTGTGTATGGCCCGTCCACGTGTGAACACAGTATTTGGGTAAGAATGTGTCCTGTGAACCAGGTTCTGATAGTAGGTGTGGTGCGTCTGAAAGGGGAGGATGCATATATGTTCGTCCTTGATAGTCGGTCGTTGACTTTCCGTGAAATATGGTGGTCTCCTGTCCCACAGCACCGCGCTTTGGCTGCGATCTTTTCTTCCTAACTTCTAGCTCTGGTTCTTCCTCTTCTTTTTCATCATTTGCTACTTGTTCACAATCAACGTCAGGCGAAAAACCCTCCACTTCATCCCCTTCCCATGCCGCCCATGGCCCGGCATAAGAGCCCTCTCCATCGACAACCTCTAGGTCCCCTTTGTTTTTTCTCTTCCTCTTAACTAACTTTTTTTCTGCGTTGGTCGCCCTGAGAGTATCTATAGTTGCAAAACAATTTCCGCGTGCTTTTTCGATATGACCCAAAACAGGCGGAGCTGTAGGGTCGACAGACGGATTGGCGGAGTAACCGAGGATGGAATAGGTAAGATGCTGGGCACGAAACGCGTGATCTGTCATAGACTGCTCTTCAACATGCCCCGCGAGTGCATTTTGGTTAGCAAAGGGAGTGCGATCGCTGAATGGGTTGTCAGGTCCTTGCAGTGGTCGCATCATGTCGACGTAGGGTATGTTTATATTCATTTGAGTATCGGTAGGTCGTGTGGCCAGCGAGGACTGGTTTGAAAGGTCCTGAAGGACGGAAATTTGGGGCCTCTTTGAATAACGCTCCCAGCGGAAAGTAATGGTCTAAACTCACTTCCGTAAGAATAGATGGGGCAGGTTGTACCATGGCGGAAATGGGGTCCTGTACATCAATTCGGATCTTCTTGGGAGCTGGTAAAGCAGATAAACTAAATGTGTCACTGTTCCTTCTGAACAGATCTTCATCCTCATCAGAACAATAGCCATGGACGAGAGACATGATGATAATAGTGGTTGTGAGCAGACTTATCACGCAGGACCATCCAGAAAAAAGCTTGGCATTTCTGGGTTGTCCCACGATGTAACGGTTGTGACTTGTCGTCTCCTGATCATCCTCCAAAGTACTTCCTATCCCTTTATGCGAGGTCTTTCACTGCACTTTCGAGTAAAATATCAACTTGTATTTTTCTGGTGAAATCCTAAATAATATGCGAATAGTGCTTGGGTAATGTTCTATTTCAGGTAATACCACCCTTTTATTTTGGCATTTTGACTTTGATGCTGTGAGTTGATCATCAATATCATACTAGCTAGCTGGTACTTAAAATACAAGACATTTCTAAATCTCTCTAAGTGCGCTTTTCTAAGTTCAACCACCGCATCGTCATCAGTCCCATCCGACAAAATCACCAATATCATTTTTACTCATATCTAGCCCATCAACGTCTGGGCAGTATCTCTGGTGTCTTCAACGTGCTCCAAAGCCCCTGATTGTTGACTCTGGCAGCTCATCAAATTCTTTCAGAGACATGTCACAGCCGATGAACTAAGGTAGCCCAAAATAAGACTTGTGGGTAAACAAGAATGAATTGCTGAATGAGCATATAGCCAATGTATTGGCTTGTATGGGGCTAGAATCCTGTTGATTACGGCACTCTCTTCAACATATTCCAAGCCTGGTGAGTTTGGTTGGTCCATTTGCTGGTCATTATTAACTGAATGGTTTTATTTTTGAGGCCCTCTCAGTCCTTGCAACAGCCTCATCAACTTAGAATGATGGTATGAATAGCTCTTGTCTTGCTGGTCTTTTTGAGCTGACTCAGACACTTCTGTGCAATTGCGTTTAGCCTGGACATCTTCATCATGGTCGATCAATCTCCTCTTGTGAATTATAATCTTTAAAAAAGTCCCTTTTTGCCACTTTTGCCCTGTTCGGTCTGAGTCTTCAATATGTCATCACTTTTCAAGTTCTTTTGGTTTGTGAAGCTGTCCTCATGCTTACACCCAGTGCTTTTTTCAGTCTTCCTCGGGGCATGCACCTGTTTTATTTAGTCTAGGAGTGGGAGTGCTGATATTTGTAGATGGGAGAAATAACCATATAGGCTATCATAGCTGTACATGTAGTTATAATGAAATCTTTCGTGTTGCTGTACTACAAGGTCATACCTAATAAGGAAAGAAAAATGATGATGATATTATTGTGTTATTATCCTTTGTATTATTTGCTTATTATTTTGGTATTATTAGAATTAAAACTGTAATAATCCTACAAGGTTTTTTTGATATTATTCTGGTATTATTCAGAATTTTCATGTTATAATACCTCAGTTCTTTTAGGGCCCAATGTGCAGTGTTTGGCAATCACCACAACTCTTGGGGGCATAGTGTTGTCAGCTGGTGTAGTTCCCTGTGCATTGTCAGCAGCACCAGAATCAGCTGAGCTACTCTCTGTGTCACTGTTAATAACCTCAGTGCTCTTATATTTTTTTCTAGAGGAAACCTTTGGGCCATTCTGTGTCTATTTCCGCTTGGTGCCTTTGTCAGATTGCTTGCAATGACCTGGCCCTTTTATTTCTCCACTGTTAAGTCTTTCAATGTTTTCTTCGGACATTTGCTGATACTCGCTCTCTTTAAGTTGTCTCTAGCCAGATTCCAATTATGCAAAATCATTTCCAAATCTGGAAGACCATTTGATATTTCACTGAGATTGGCAAAAGGGATGCATTCAGGCCAGCCTTCAATAATATTCTACTGCATTTTTGCAGTTGGGTCATCAGTAATAATTCCTATAGAAGGTATGAGATCCATTATGGATGTTTGTCATATTTAACTCACTTAGTTGCTGATTTATTATGAATTTTTGACCAAATTTCTAACACTCATTGCTGATGGTTTTTTGCTGCACCTGTGAAAATGGTAGGAATGAATAGGATAAATAACAGGTAGATCTTACCTTGCATTCCCTGCACAGAAAAACCTTCCATCTTACTAATCAAGTATTGATGATCAATGTTCACAGCAGATAACATAAAGTTCTCTACTCTTTTTGTATTGAATGCAATTCCTTGAAGAGGTAGTTCTGTTGAACCTCTTGTTGTATAACGCATAGACTTTGCACCTGTGCAAAATTGTAAACTGGTGAGCTAAATTCATATTAATCAACAACAATGGTGATTAAGCTATTTTATCCAGGACAAACCTCCTTTTCAACTGCTTTAAATGTGTCTGTCACATCTGTCATTCTTGCTCTTGTTGATGTACAAAGATCAGTTATTCTTATTTCACAATACTTAGACTATTCACTGACAATCTCTTCCTTTTTGTCCTTTGATAGATTATGATATTTGGTATGGTGGTTACTTATGAGTTTTTGGAGGGCTCAGGGCCTTTAACTACTGTTAAACAAGAGGTAAGAAGATGACCACATAAGATATGGGGATTAGTCACTGTTCTCTTTATCAACTTCCTGGTTTTTCTTCTAACAGAATGTATTCCATACACTCACTTTGTTATGTTAATGCTGTAACCTTGTATGGCCCAGATACAGTTTTTTTTTGATGTAGCTGATAGACTTGCTATTGTCTTATGCTATTTTAGCTGTCATCTCATCAATCTGCTTCCATGCCTTGTCAAGGTTTTGCTGGAGCTTTTGTTGCTTGTTGCATTGTTTCAGCAGGAGATTTGCTCGACCGCCAACTATCATTCAAAGGTTCAAAGCTCATACACAAGGCCCAATGGAACTATTACTCAGGAAATTAGTCAGCATTGTTTGTTTTCCCATTTTGAGACAGAAGAAGTTCTTACAGTTCACCACTCTCAATTATATCACAGACAAGGAATACAAATCAGTGACAACAAGTGGCAATAATAATGCTGGTCTCCAATCATCTTCTTATGTTGCTCTTGCCCAGTGTTTCTCCATCGCTCAACGCAACTATATGCAATATGTTTGCCATTGGCCATCATGATTGTTCTCATTTGTCTGCCAGAAAAGTGTTGTATACATTAAATAATGCAAATAATCTATGCAAGCTTTACATGGATCATTTCTATGAGTTAAGCTATATATAGAGGACTTTCACCATTTCAAGCTATTGTTGCCATCAATTGAGACAAGCCAGTCAAATTCAAGTGGTTGCTCATCTTAAAGTTTGTAGCAGCAAGCTGGGTATTTGTTCAATAGGCACTAATCAGGCATGTTATGCTGAAGGGCCACATTTAGTTGTTCTTGCACACAATGAAAATTTTCAAGGCACACATCTTATGCTGCGGAGAACTGTGATTCAAGATGTGGGTGATAAGGCATCTGACAAGAACATTAAATGTGGCAGAGTGGAAACATAGATGGTTGGAACAACTGAATGGTGCCATTTCTAGTGTTGAATTGTGAGACCTCGCTATGGTACCAGGAACATCACAGTATTTTTTCTATCATCGTGCAGTACTATGGGCTCTACCTAATATACTTAGATTTGAAACGGCTAGAACCCTATTTTTTTGTGTATGATGTCAGGATCTTCCTGATACTCTTCCGCTGAAACCCACATCTACAATGTTCACTAATAAGTGACAAATATGCTGAATGCTAAGTGACTTACTTTCTTAAAAGTTCCCAAACCAGCTAAAATAGATCCTCCTATCCACGTAGAGTATTTGCGCTCAGGTGGCGCGAATATTTTGATTTTAATATCCTTTAAAGCCAGCTTCTTGACCTCGTTGAGCAACCGATCACCAAACCCTAGCTCAAGCACCAGCATTTAGTAGTTCACCGACAATAATAAAGGAGTCACACCTCGACATAATGTACTGCCCCCACTTAAAACAATGTTCGAAAAAAGACTTTTGCGTAGATCAAGATCGACCCGATTAATCGAATCTACGACTACCTGGTGCACACCAGCATATTCTTGTCCGATAAGCTCAGGACTGAACAAGATCTCTGGGGCACGAAAGCGTTCCGATCCTAACTATTCTGAGGATAAAACGACAATTGCATCATAGAGTGCGTGACACTCACCTGGACAATGTTCCCATCTGGCAATCTGAAATCCTCTGTCTTTCTCACAGACTCCTTCTCCTCCTTTGTTGGGTTGAGGGCGACATGGCAAAATTTTTCTTTGATGATTCTGACGACTTCACGTTCCGCTGTCGTATGCAAACGATGTCCAGACTTGCGAAGCAGGACCTGGAGAAAATCCGTGATATCTCTTCGAAGCGTTATTCAGTCAACCAAAATCAAAAATTAACAGTGCCTACCTTCCTGCAACGTCAATGCGACGAATTGCGTGTGGCATAGAGAAGCCCTCGAATACGGGCACAGCGTGCGTTACACCATCCCCCGAATCGAGAACTATCCCAGTTGTGCGACCTGACGAATATCTGAGTAAAAGTGGACGATTACTACAGGTAGATTTCTGATGGTCTAGTAAAAAGTTATTCACAACGACAGTACGGCCTGTACTGAGAGGAAAAGAGCGGGAACGTTGAAAGTATCGAAAAATATTTGGGCTGCTACATCCCGATTCGACCTCGGGTTCAGAGGTGCTTCTGTCAGTAAAACAGGATGCTACCATACATAAACATTAATCACATCGCACAAGCTAAATTTACTGGAGATTTACCTCCTCACTCAGCGTGCCGAGCTCTTCGGCGTAAATCCAACTCCATAAACGTTCCATGTCATCCCAGTCAGTCACGATACCATGCTCTATGGGATATTTGATCTTCAACAGTCCTCTAAACTCTTGGGCGCGGCGACCAATAAATACTTCTCCGTCTAGGGCCCCTGCCATCACGCGTACATGCTTCGGTCGCCCAACGCTGTAGGTGTAATGAGATCATGGGTTCTCAAAAGAGCAAGATACAAGACTAACCAGGATGGGAAGAAACATTTGGGATGATCTTGACCTGCAAAACCCGCCTTGATAGTACCTGAACCCTAAAAGCATGATGGTTTGGAGCTTTCGATTTGTTGAAGAAAAGTGATGCGAACATTATCGATGACCACTGGCTGATTTGTCAGCACATCCTCATATTCTGTAGACATTTCGCTGTTGTGGTCTCCTATAGCTCAGATCTAGAGGACCACAAGTGGGAACAAGGGGTGGGCAAGAAAGAAATTTCCCATGCTTCAGGACGTCAGACCTTCCCCCGTGGGAATAGCCAAGGAATAGCTAATATCACTTCACAGTGAGGAAACTTTAATTGGATCAAAATGTTCGCTGAAATGAGTTTGAAAAAACATATTTTGGTGAACACTTACGAAACCTTAAAGCACAACATTTGTTTGCTGTTGCGGTCAGTCTCAGTAAAAAAGCTAAGTCGCATAGAGTCATGGATAGTCACAGGGTAGTCATGGATAAGTCACACAAAGTCGAGGTATAGTCACACGCAGCCAAAGCATAGTCCAACACAGTCACATGTAGTCACCATACAGTCATAGAATTAACAACAGCTCCGGGAACCTTGGAGACTTAGAGCCAGTTCGGACAGGAAGACGCCCAGGGTTTTTGATTAGCCGAAGACGCTGGTCTCAAGCTCGCCAATATGCCGATCCAATGTTTATTAATGCCCGCGATGGTGGCTGGCATGCGGAGGGTTGCGGAGGGGATGGAGGGCCATCGTGCAACAAGGCATACCCTACAACCACGAAAGTGATTGTAATCAACAACTGTACATAGTCTGTAGAAATGAGTCGACATATTTCCTCTTGTTTGTCAAAAGCTAGACGCAAGCAACCATACCCTCAAAAATCACCTCAAAAAATGGTTACAGGTGCTGATCGGGAGAAAGGCAATGATCGTGCAGTTTGGTCGGATCAAGATATGTTTGCCCTCATTGAATATGTCAAGAAGGAGGGCAAGGAGGCAGGGGGAAAGGGCACCAGTTCAAGCCTGCTTTCTGGACCAATCTCATACCACAACTTGCATTAACAATGAAGGCAGGTGCACCGAAGAATGCTGCAAGCATTGGACGTAAATGGAAGAATGTACGTACAAAATTTATACGGGGGGATTCAACTTGCTCAGCGTATAGACAGCTCAAGACCGAATTCAATCGTGTGTGGACCCTGACAACTCTATCTGGTGTTGGGTTTGCTCCTCAAAACAAGAACCACATTGACGAGACCAACAAGGCTGTCTGGGATGCCTTGATTGAAGTAAGTGCCCAACTATGCAACCAGATAACGTAAACTTACCGAGGACTAGAAAAACCCTAAAAAGAACTATTGACACTATGCGGAAAATGGGTGGGCCTTCTACGGGGGCATGCAGGATATTATGCCTAGTAAAGGCAAAGGTACACATGCATTCCATGCTGAAGAGGAGGTTACTGGTAATATGGACGTCACAGAAGGGGAAGAAGGGGGAGAAGGGGGAGGGGATGAATTAGATGGGCCTGATGATGATGTAGACGACAATATTGAGATGCATGAAGGTACTAGCAATCATACCTTAGCCTGTGACCAAACATCTTCGTCTAAGACCAGCGCTGTGGTCAATTTTATTGCTACAACTTCTTCAGCTGTGCCCCCATCCATACAATCTGTACCGTCTTCAGTTGCATGCCCATCCGTGTCACCATCTATGTCGCCTACCAAGCGCAAGTCATTTGCTGTTGATGGTACAACAGGGACCCCATCAATCACTCTGTCCCGCTCTTCAAAGAGTGCCCGTTTGTCAGGCCTCTCGATCTTCAATGGGATGAGAGAGGAGATGTTGAGATTTAATGATAACATGAGCTCAGCCAATGTTATCAATGGCCGCCTTGCCGCATCGGTCGACAACCTCAGTGCCAGATCTCAACCTGCCTCGCAAAATACTGCTTCCCTTGTACCATCTGCATCATCTACAGCCATCATGCAGCTCCCTCCCCTCCCATTAAGGAGCATTGCTAACCGTTTCTTGCAAAAGGAGACCTACCTGAGTAAGAAACAGGTGGTAACATTGATGGACATGTTCCGTTTGAATCCCAACCTCATTGACGACTTCCTTGACTTGCAGGATGATGGTGATCTCCGTAAGACTTGGGTTGAGACATGTCTTGAATAATTAGCTATGTAAAATGTAACTTTAGCTTGATGTACGTTAGTATGCCATGAATGAAACCAAACAATGCTTGTATTTATTCATTTCACAACATAAAAAACAGCTTAGTCTGCGGTAAGATGGTTCTCGGCCAAAGTATTCAACTGCAAAACATACAGATCACCCCTTTCTTGCAACTCACGGATATAATCAACCCATATATCCCTCGCAATTCTTGCACAGAGCTGATTTTCCAGTAGTTTATCCCTATTGCTGATAGAACCAGTGGCTAGGGTGCCATAGCTACCATTATTTGGTTCGTACTCGAGGTCGTTTGGAATGAGGCCTTGAAGCTCGTCAGGATCGTAGATCCGAATGAAGTTGTGGATCATGGAAAGAGCTGGAGGAATGCAGGCTTGGATCTCCATGCTGTATTCAGGGGATGATGAGAGAAGCTTGAAACATCGCTTGAGGACGCCAAAAATTCTCTCAACAACGTTTTGAGCTTGTGCATGGCGTAAGTTGAATAGTTCTCTCTCATTCACAGGCCTAGATATAAGATAAATATTATATTATAATTACAAAACGACTATCATACCTTGTTTGAACACGGCCCCACTCAGCAAGGTGATATTGCTCTCCACAATAAGGGACCAGCAGCTCCTTGCACAAACCAAACCCAGCATCAGCTAAATAATACTTCCCCGAAGGGATGCAAAGATCCTGTCGACGTGCTTCATCAAACAGAAGTGCATCCCCTGTTGACCCCTCCTAACCTGCCAGCATGTAGAAGAAGCGTAAGTCAAACAAGCAACATGCAAGGCAGTTTTGCGAGACCCCTCCTTTGCGGTTGACAGAAAGATACCGGTCCTCACTTGCTGGTGTACATGCAATGTGTGTGCCGTTGATTGCACCAAGTGCATCCTTGAAATACGGGTATAACTTCTGATTGTCTTTGATCTCAGGAGGGACAGGGTTAGTCACATGGGGTAGTCAAATGAATGTAGTGTAGATTGGCCGCGATGAGAATGCAATGAGCATTTGTTTAAAATACCTATAATTTTATTAGTAAACTACAGAACAAGGAAAATATGTACTTACTTTGAAATTATATTGTTTGACCTTTGGAACCGTTCACCCAAATGTCGAGTGGAAAGGCCAGTAACACTGGCATAGAGGAAGATGGCGAGCTTTTTGTTTAAGCTGATATATTTTGAGCCTTGGATAATGGCGTCTCTCAATGTCTCAGTAAGCTTCTCAAATACTTGGAGGCTAACCCCCAGCTCACTACGGATACGGTCGGGGTGTCCATTGATTAATTCCTGGACCCATGCTTCACCAGTAAGGCTAGACGTGTGGTAGGGTTGCTTGTTATACATTGATTCGGCGTGATAAATTGATGCTGCAGTTGCGGTGCTAATAGCTAGGTTAGACATATGATTCATCCTTTTGTTGTTTTCAATAATGGCCTTAAGCACAGCAGAGAGGCATTTTATACTCTCAGGCCGCTGCTCAGGCTGAAGCTGAGGCTGATCTTCATCTTCAAGTTCGGGATCCATGATTGCACTACTTACTATATTTGGAATCACGATGGGAGTAGAACCATTGAAGCTCCAATTTAATTTGTCAGCAAAGATCTTGAGACCAGCGTCTTTGGCTAATCAAAAACCCTGGGCGTCTTTCTGTCCAAACTGGCTCTTAGACTTGTACATAGTTACATATAGTTGTGTATAGTCTAATATTAGTTATACTATAGTCAAACTATGGTGTGAAGTCAACTCCTCATCTAAATTCACTAAGTCTCAATGCTATTATGTTGAACTTACACTCAGCAAAGGTATTGGCATAAATTGAGGAAAACTAACATTTATATTACAATATTTGTACAAAATGATTTACCTACTACTCTTCATTTTGTGTGCCTTCATTCTGTTTCTCAAGCTCTTCTTCAGTTAGCCACTCAAGCCCTGGATATTTCTGAAGTACATATACCCTGCTATTGTAACACCAGATCCCAACAATGTCGACTATAGAAGAAATTGGAAGAACTTTGATATCTTTGGCCCATTTTCCTCTCCACACATTAAGAGTGCACTGAACATCCAGAAGGGGATGATATACAACAAATTGTTGTGTATTGCCTTCAAGTCCTTCAATCTCATAGAATGCAAGTGCTTCACCAAAAATAGGGACCACACTTGCATCATTTCCTTCAAAGTAACGATGTGACCTTGAAGGAGGGTGTCCCTGTAGCTCACTCATCTGGGTGTTCAGAACATTTTTCTTGCTCACATGCATTTTCCCCCATTTTGTGATTGGCATATTTGGATTAAAAGGAATTTGTTTCCAGGACAGGATAGCCCCTATATGAATATAAAAACTTTGGCCAGGTTTATATTCACATTTTCTGATTGGCACCTTAGAAAATAATATGGTTGTTTTCTTAGATCCTGGTTGAGTCTGCAACTCAGGGTAGTAGGAGAGGAGGGCCTTCAAGACTTCTTTCTCATAGATAATATTAGCCAAATTTGCAAAAAGTGCTTTTTTGGAAGGAATCTATAGCATCCCACATCCATATATCTTGACTACACTGTGCTGCATCCTGGAAAAAGGGATATATAAATGACTCAATATTTCCTGGACTGTGGGGTCCTGGAATGGCCATGGTTAATATGATATTGTTGGAATGGTACCTTATTTCTGGAGGTATGTTGAGCAATATCAGAATCAATATCCAAGTATCAGACTGCTTCTTCATTGTAAGCTGGGCCCCATCTGTGGATAATGCAAAAGCAGTGTTACGCTCATTCTGAAATAATCCCATGTCCTTATAATGGTGTTCATGAACACTCCCACTGGGAAAATCAGAATATCTTGCCTGAGCCTGAGTCCCAGAACTTTGTGAGCCAACTGCAAGTAACTTCAATGTTTCTTGTAAACATCTATCCCTGTATCACAGGAGTTGGGACATTTGCTTATTTACAAACATTGCTTGGATAATTGGAATGAAAGATACATATAGCATTTGTGCTCTGGGCTTATTTTTAGATCCAGCAACATAGTGCCTCTCCCCACATGTGATTTGACCCTTTATGGTGTGAGGACAAGCTTCCAAGTCCTTAAAGTCACCTGTATATGCAATACAACTCTTTGGGCACATATCAATCTTTACAGGCTCAATCTTGGCCAGAGATCCAGCCAACTTGCAAACAGCATACAGTGACAATATATCTAACCTGAGTAGCTTGTTGTAATACTTGTGCATGCAGCTCATATGCCTTGACAGTGCCATTTGACTTTTCCCATGCAATGTAGTGTTTAAGGCTGTGAATATCTGACTCTGTCAGATTGCTTGGCCCAGAAACTGTTAGTTTTGGTGATTCTGCACCTTTGTGCTACCTATATATTTTCATTCCTTTCTCTATCTATTCTTCTATCATTCACTATTGATTGTGTTCTCTATTATTTCGCCTTTGTGGCTGCTTTGTTTACCTTTGTTTACAAAACTTCGGACAGTACTGCAGAGTCCAATGCTTCCTATTCTCTAGTTACTCACATTGGACTCTAGGTACTGTATACCTGTCATACTCTCTAATAATATAGTTACTCACATTGGACTCTAGTTCCAGTCCCTGATTGCTCTCAGCAAGTGGCTAGACACTTCCTTCAAGCTTTGTTCTTAAAAGAAACAGACAATAGGGGGACAACAGGACACTTGTATCCACCCAATAGTTTTGTTTGTAGGTCTATTTGAAGAGGAGGATAATTGGCAACAATGCCATAACCTTGAGCAGAAGTATGCACAACTTGATCAACCCCATCCAGAATATCAGTCTTTTTGTCCTGGTTGCTATTAGCATTATCATTACAGCACTAAAGCTGGGTGAATCATCCAGACTGCAGCCCTCCAAGTCTGGGAATATCAACATATCCTGCTCTTCAGCACTCAGATCATTGTCCTGGTTGCTATCAGTATCATCACTCCTATCATCTGCAGCAGCATCATGGCTGGGAAAATTATCCGGACTATCATTCTCCAGGTCTGGGAATGTCAACATATCCTGATCTTCAGCACTCAGATCATTATCCTGGTTGCTATCAGCATAGTCACTCTCATCATTAACAGCAGTGCTACAGCTGTGAGGCTCATGAAGGTCATCATTCTACAGATCTGGGAATACAACTATATCTAGAGAATTTAGCATACAAGACAGAATAAGAGCAAAGAGCGTACCTTGATCAGCATCTGCATCTGCAGATTGCCTGCCAAAATGAGCAGTATTGTCTGTAAGACAGTGGTCAGAAACACTTGTATCTGTTTGTAATATTATATAAGTATATTGTTTTCAATCTTCTTGTAAACTTGTGCATCTTTCAGCAGAGATCTCGACAGAAATTCGTTGTTCAATCTGATGCACAGCTCTAAATGTGTCCTGAATGCAGGTGTAGTATATGGTGTGTTGATAAGATTCCTATCAGCCTCAAGGTGGTTAGATATTGTCCTTTTACTCCTATCCTTTGAAGGGAAACATTTGGTACAATAGCAAGGCATTATTGTGAGGTGGGAGAGAGTCAACAAACTCAACCACAAGGCCTAATTTGAAGATGGTGCATGGCGCCATCCGATAAAAAATTGACCCAAAAAAAAAGCTGACTAATAGATCCATGTTTCAGTCTCATGCTCATTGTTGCTTGCCACGTCGACAACTGTACTACGAGCAATGGACCCTAGAGAGCCTCATAATTCATCAAGTCTTTACTACAGTGAGCTCATATCTGCCATAATTCCACTACTAGCAGTAGTCCTGCAGCTGTGAGGCAACGATAAACTATAACAAAAACAAAACCTGTCTCCTACTACACTTGTAGGGAGTAAGAGGTTCAATGAGCTTGAGGTCAACAGACACTAGTAAATATAGCGAGTAGAGGACTTGGGAGGTAAGCTCAAGGGTTTCAGTTGAGGAGTAAAGCGGGTAAATTCAGTAATAGAAAACTAAGGAACTATACAGGAATAGGTAAGGCTTTATATAGTGAACTGTTTGTCCCTCAGACCAAAAGGAGAGTAGATGAAAAGTGGTCTGAGGAATAGATCGTCCAATAGGAAAAAGAGAACAACTATTGTATAACTTTAACTTGATTAATCAGCAGGTGAGAGAATTGTACTAATAATAGATGTTTGTTACGCGTGTTCAGGAACTGTATCCTCATGATGAGGTACGATCCTGATCAAAGCATTTATTAGTATATCCAGGCCTTAATGGGGCTTGGAGCTGGTTGTCGAGATGCCTACTACCAGTCCCTACCCATTGTGCTGGCTGGCTGGGAGTGATACCCAGTCTCTGATCTGTGATATAAAGTGGTAACGGTGGTTAAGGAAGCCTGTGAGGGTTATGAGAAGTAAAATGGCAAATGATACCTCTAGCCCTAGAGCCAGAGGTGTAATGGGAAAAGTGTTCAAGAACCAAGACATAGAGAAGATAAGAAAATAATAAAACGGTCCTTACAGCAGCCTTGTACAACTAATGCTATTTTCCCCAAGTTCCTCCACCTGGCAGTACGTCTGTCAGTCATGTTGATAATGCCCACCCGCCGATAACTTCAGATTTGTCAACCTTATTCTATCCATTCACAATCAAGTCTCTTAGTTTTGAAGATCTTCTAAAAAACCGCCATTTCAGTGATACCGTTCGAAAATACCAGATTGCAGCTGATCAGTTCCTCGAGACTCAGGCCTACCAAAACGAATTAGTTGGCCAGATTGAGGGACTGCTTGCTAAGGAGCATGTGCATATCAGCCAGCAACACAAGTTGGAGGGAAAAATCCGGAGATATGAGGACAATATGCAACGACTGACTGAAGAAAATGGTACCTTACAACAAGAAAACCACCATCTTCAGCAAGAAATCTCATGATTGCAAACAGCCCTCAATTCACAAAACAGCTCTGCGTAAGTAATCTGTACAATACAGTGCAGTTGACTAACATATCTACTCCTCTAGCGCCGGCATCTCCACAATTTATCCAAGCGACTCTGCGTCACATGCAGCCAATACCTCGCAAGCAAAATCTGTTGTATTCACCCATGAATCTCTTCCCCGCCCTGACAAATACCTGTTTGAGGTTTTATGGCATTTTGACGACTGCAAGGAGGATGAGGATAGTGGGTTAACAGCTCAGAATCCCGCTCGACCCGCAATGGAGTGTGCAATCCGACATGCGGATGGCACCATGATTACTTCCAATGAATGGTCTGCCATCAAAGCCAGCACCCGTCTTGCTCAATTCAAGCTTGAGCAGCTACCTCTGCCAAAGCACTAATCCCAGAAACAATCAAGAAATCATTATTGATCCGCATATCCAACTCAGTGGGAGGCTATCCTCCTGGAGATGGAGCAGCAGCAGCCGCTGCTAACTCTGTGCTTGAACCACTGGAAGGCTGAACACGTCCTTGGCCAGATGTTAAGGTCTAGTAAGCTAGCTGATGAGGTGGATATTAGTGGTGACAATGAAGATGCTAATCTCACTACTATATTGTCAGGAACAGGAACGGCAACAGAGTCTCAAAAGAGGCGTCGAGCGAGGTCAAGCATCTAAGAAATGGCAAAAAAACAACAACCAGTGACCAGTGTTGTTTCAGAGGGCGCCCACTCAGAAATTGGGATGGCAGTGGATCACTCTCATCTGCAGGCATTAATGCCTCCACCCACTACCGGTCAATCTTTCTTTTATTTCAATTTAATACACTAACATCTATACTTCAGTGCCTGTTCGGAAGTCGCTGGCTCCTCCATCTTTTTTGTCCGTTGCTTCGGATATTAGGTTCAAAAGGTACGACATAGGATTTATAGAAGTCAATTCCTCTATATCCAATTTGAAAGGTATTTTTTCTCCATTTGTTTCATTCAAATTTAGGCCTAAAATATTCTAGGTATCATCTCTTGCAATTTCAGCTCATTCTCCTCCGGCATTAATCTTCTCGACACCATGGAGTTATTCCCTGACTTCTCCTTCGGCCTCCCTTCCCCCCCTGTGCTCAAATTTATCAAGCGTATTGAGCGTGCTGATCCAAACTCCTCCGACTTTGATGAAGACAACCACGGTATCTCTTGGGGCCACCATCAGTTATATATACCCCAATAGATCCAGGAGACTCCTCAGCGAGTCCTCCTGTTGTTAACCAACAAACTCTCTGCAGCTCTAGGGGTAACCACTCCCTCATCATCTTCCTTATAGTGTGTTCTGTGTGCGCCAGAGTAACTAACTCTTGGTTGTTACAGTATGCTTTCAGGACAAGATTATTTCTTCGACATTCCTTGCAGATAATTATCTGAGCAACATTCTTGACCTTCTGTGGGCAGCCTGGAAGACAGCCAGAGCGGTAAGTACTTGGTTTTCTCAAAATATCCATTATCTGATCAATAATTCTATAGCCATTATCTAAGGGTAAGGCCTGGTCTGATTTATCCTTGTCCTCTACTCTTCGTGGGACTGCGTTGATCATCTCATCCACCACTTTGGCCTTTATGGCACCTCCCTCGTCTGTTTCCACCACCTTAGGTCTCACTGTACTCACATTGGTGGCTGCCTCTGCCCTGCCTGTCTCACAAGTCACAGCTGGTGATTCTGATTCACCCAACGAGGAAGAGTGTCATGCAGAGTTCCAGGTAAGTGTGTTATATCTGTCAGTGAAAAACCAACTCATGCTCAATTCACAGACCTTGAAAAAAGATGAGCTGATCAAGTGGATCAAGACCAGTGGGGTCACCGTCTCCAACTTAAAACAGAGGAATAAGAAAGGTATTGATTGATTTTTTTTACCACTCTAACCGTCTGATATGATTTTGTAGATCTTGTAACGACTATACTGGCCTCACCCTCCGAGAAACAGCCCTCCAAGAGGGAAATTAATTCATTTTTATCTAATGTCAGTCTCACATTTGTTTTTCTCATCACACAACTAACTTGTATTACTATTACAGCGGAAGGGGAAGAAAAATTTGCCCACAGTCGAGAAATGATTGAAGACAAAATTTGAATCTGGCTCGCACAATATAAACATTTTTTTTTTGGTCATTATGCAGTGGAGGTTTTCTCTTGTCACTCTCCTATAATTTTTTGTGTGCTTTATATGTACCTGGACTGAGAAACACAACTTTATCGGACTAAAATTGACTATTTCCTGCAGATTTTAGTCACAGTTCTTGCAGTCCTTGATTGTGGGGACTGTGAATTCACCCAGGTGGGCTATGTTGTAGAATGCTGTAGTGAGACACGCATAGATTGCGGTGTCTCGTGGTTCATGCAGGTTAAGCTCCGCCTTTATTTCGATCAACATGTCTCACATGATGGCCATCCTTCTCGGCCTTTTTGACGATGCAGGCGCGAGTCTGTGAGCACCTTCCAGGATCGCCTTGAGCTCGTCTCTGTTAACCAACCAAGAGTATCCATGCAGCAAGTGCCAAGCCCTGAGGCCTGCTACATAATTAGCTAAAGTTGAACCTGCATACAAACCAGTGCAGCTGGGAGGAAGTATGCTATGTATATCACAGTATATGTAAAATGTGAGGAGCCCTGCTCTGTAAGTTTATTTTGTAGATACTGCCCAGGATGCTCCTATTACTTCTAGCATCCTGTCTAGCTGGTCTTCAGAAGGGTTTGTATTGTTGGATTTTTCATTAAATAAATTAGTTTGTCAGCAAATTCAACTAGGCCTTTGTCTGCAGATATATAGGTGAGTTTCACACTTCTTGTACTTTTGATATAGCGGATGATTTTCTGGACTGTTTCTCAGTGTATTTTAGCTGGATTATGGGCAAATTGCAAGATGGTGGAGACAGCAAAGGATATATTGGGGCAAGTGAATGTTGACAGGTACATCAATTTTCTGATGGCTTCACAATAGGGTACATCCTTCATTGTATCCTTTTTGTGTAGTTCTGTTGGGCACTGATTTGTGTTTAGTGAAATTCCCAGTTCCATCGGTGTGGTTGAAGGTTTGGCGTTGTTCATGTGGAAATCTGTGACTATGGAGTCAATGTAGGATCCTTGCAATAGGAACATTGTCCTGTTCTTCTGGTTGTGTTTGATTTCTATGCCAAGTAGCCAGTGTATTTTGCCAAGACCTGATATTTTGTATTCTCTCCTAAGTCCCTTTTTGAACAACGCTATAGTGTTCATGGAGTTACCTGTTGCAGTCATATCATCTGCTGATACCCCAAATGCCATCTCATCAGGTGTCAATTGTTTGTGGTAAACTGCATGGTCATGTGCGGAGTGCATGAATCCGGATGTTTTGAATGTACAAGTGAGTTTGTTGTACCATTTCAGTCCGGCTTGTTTTAACCTTTATATTCCTTTTTGCAGCTTGCAAATCATGTCATTTTGGATGGTTCTAGGATAGCCTGGGGGTAGACGCATATACACATCTTCATTAAGATCTGTGTTAAGGTACACAGATTTGATGTCAACCTGGTGTATTTCCCAGTCTTTAGCATTGGCATGCGCAAGTATGACACGGTGTGAAGTCATTTTGGCCACTGCTGAGTAAGTCTCCATATAATACATGCCATATTTTTGCAAATTACATTTGCAACTTGGAAATGAATATGCGGTGGAGTTGTTGTAGTGTAATGTGTCAGCAGCCATTGCACAACAACTTTACATACAGGGTATGCAGGATCACCACAAAAACAATTATTCCCAGAGGCGCCCTAGGTCATCAAACCAAATTAACAATCATTCTCACAGGTTTAAGCTGTTTGGGCTGCAACCAGGGCAGGGCCCCTATGGATATTGGTGTGGTCCAAGGCGGACAGATGCGCAGATTCAAGGCCAACTGCTACAATTGCGGCCAAGACAGACACATGTCCCGGGACTGTAGAAACGGGGCGTAGGCCGCCCAACAAAAAAATCACCAATGGTGCCAGGTGCACCAATTAGAAATAGAAAACCTGGACAATCAGCTCAATACTTGGCTGGTTGTCCTTATGGCAAAATCTGGGCTTTCTTCTATGATCAACAAGTCAGTGAAATGAAGGCCCAGGGAAAGAGTTTGGAGCCTAGGTCACTTGGGTGCCTTTGCTCCTATTAAAAATGAAGTAAACCACAACAAGGTGGCCCCTGCTCTGGGGTGTTGCACGAGCAATAAAGGGGGTAGCTCCCCAATTTGTACATAAATTTCAAATTTATTATCTGAAGTATGTACTCGTATGAAAAATTGTGACTGTAATATTTATGATACTACCGCTGCATCAGTGTCTCCCCAGGAGCGTGGTGTGACAACACCAACAAGATACAGTCTTGGGGCACTGGAGCACAATGAAAACAACACTCAAAAGAAGAGGAAGAGGTGGGAGTGTTTACCCATTTGGTAGGAACAAGTTAGTTGTTGGTAGACAACAGGAGGACTTGCTGAGTCCTTCCCCATGTATTGCTCCTGTATATATACTAAAATACATGAGGTACTGTACAGTTGTAACTAAAGTTTAAAGTCCAATGTCTAGCATGTGACCGGTCACATGATGAGTCTAGACACTGGTTGGGTGTTGTGTCACATGACTGGTTATGTGACTTGAAAAAATAAAAGTAAAAGTACGAAAAAGGTGAAGTGTAAGTAGGTACTGGTACATCAATTGTAACACATGGCCCCAGCAACACACTACTAGGGTGCTTGATTCTGGTAAAAATAAAAATAAAAATATAGACTATACTAAAGTAGAAAAACATGTTTCCTTTTGAAAACTTTTCAAAGATAACAAGACCATTGAACAATTTCACAAAAAAGGACATTGTCTGGCATTGGGGTGCCAAAGAAAAAGAAGCTTTTGATAAGCTTAAACAGGCATTTATAACAGCACCCGTATTAGCGTTTCCTGAATTAGACAAAGAGTTCCGGCTAGAAACTGACACTTTTGATTTAGTACTGGAGCTGTTTTATCAATTAAATGCCCTGAAAATCTTTGGAGGCCTTGTTCCTATTTATTGCATAGTTTGTTGCCTACAGAGCACAACTATCATATTTACAATAAAGAAATGCTAGCCATCATTAGAGCACTAGGCACTGGTGGCACTACTTAGAAGGTGCTAGGCACCAATTTGAAATTTGGACTGATCATAAAAATCTGGAGTATTTTATGATGGCCCAAGACTTGAACCAAAGACAGGTTTGCTACACGGTGTACTTGTCTAGGTTTAATTATAAATTAATTCATAAGCCAGGAACTTCTATGGGAAAAGTGGATGCTTTGTCTAGAAGAGAAGATCGTGCCAACGGCATTGAAGATGACAACAAAGGTGTCACCCTGATAGATCAATCCAGGGTTGCCAATGTTCAATGGTGTGCCATCCACAGACTGATGGACAAACAGAGAGGCTCAATCAAGAATTGAAGCAATACCTCTGTATATTTATCAATGACAGACAGGCAGATTGGGCCAAGTGGCTAAAGGTAGCCCAGTTCTTGTACAATATCAAACAGTCATCAGCTACAGGAAAGGCACCATTTGAGGTTACAAGATTGTACCTCCCCAGAATGGGTGTAGAACCTCGCAAAAGCAAGAACAAGGCTGCTGGGAGCATGGTCAAGGATATGAAGTCTGTTTTAGACAAAATGTGCAAGGTTCTATTCAAAACTGCAGAGCAGATGGAAGACAGGGCAGAGTGTAGATGCTCTAAGGCCCCTGACTACAAGGTTGGCAACCTGGTCTGGTTAGATACCGACCACTTAAAATTAAAAGATTGGCAGTCTAGAAACCTGACCGAAAAGTGGATTAGTCCTTACCAGATTAAGGAAGTCAAACCCAATGTGGTGAAGCTGGAACTCCCAAAACGAATGAGGGTAGTACCCACAGTCAATATTAGCTGTGTAAAACCCTACAAAGGGCTGTTTCCAGGACAGCATGTAGACCAGCCCAGACCGGTTGTAATCACCCACGAAGGTCAAGAAGAATTTAAAGTTGAACGGGTGGTGATGCACGCTTGAAGCTTGAAAAATTAGAATTCCTAGTCCTATGGAAGGGCTGTGGAGATAAGGACAGAATGTGGGAATCAGAAGCCGATCTGGACAATTCCCGCAATGTTGAGAGGCATGGATTCAACCCTTTTCAATTCCCTTTTTCAAACTATGCCCAAAAATTTAACCACTACCTTGGGTATTTGGTTTCGGCTCCAAGCCGAGCCTTAGAAGGGGGGTAGAGTTACAATATACAATTTTTGGACCTTTGAAATTTCATTCTCCACTTTAACTTTCTTTTGTAGATTTCACACACCATGTGGCACTTTTTATTTTGTTCAAACTCCACTTCCTCACGCTGCGCTGCCTTTTTTTATTCTTAGCTACATGTCTCTCACACAGTGGAGCTGGTCACACAGGCTACATCATCAGCCACTGCCTTCATCAACTGTATAGTGCACGTGTACAAATAGTCTGTAGTAGTACAAATACCCTGATAGATCAAGGAGACTCCTCAGTGAGTCCTCCTGTTATTTACCCATAGCAAACTCGGTCCTACCATAAGGGAGATTATCCTCTCCTCTGCTTACCCCTCTCTGCCTGTGTTGTTGTGCACCAGAGTATACAAACTTTGGTTGTTACAATTTCATATTTACTTTTTCTGGGAACATCTTAGTTGATTGAATACAGCCTTTTGTAACCATCTTTGGTATGTGGCCTAGTATCTTCATTATTCATCCCTTTGTTAACTCAAGCAGTTTCTACCATCTGTAGTTGCAAGCGCAATGACCTTTTTCCCATTGCCTCTTCCTTCTTTGCATCCTGCAACCACAGGCGGTGATGGTTTAGATTCTTCAGCTGCTGGGTCTACCGCCTCAAGCTCATGCCAGAACTTATACCCTTTATTATTATGGTCCTAGCAAGCCCCCAGGTTTTCTGAGCTCATTAGGAGGAACCAGTATGATGTAGCCGCCCTGGTTGCAATCAGAGGGGCTTTTCCACCTTGTAAAGCACATGAGCGCACCATTTTGGAAAGGCTCGGCTGCACAATGCACCAGTATTCAGCTA